GCACAAACGGAGCCATAATTACCACCTATCATCTTGATAGCTAGAGAGAGAGAAAGAGAGAGAGAGAGAGAGAGAGAGAGAGAGAGAGAGAGAGAGCTATGAGAGAGAGGAAGAGGGGGGAGGGGGTTAATTAGGGGGGCGGGAGCTTTGTGGCGTTGCTGGTGTGGGGCGGGTGATTAGGGCTTTTTATGGAGCGTTTCCCGTCGCTAATGATAGTCCGTCCGCTTAGCTAGATATACAAAAGCTGCTAATGCGCGAGAATAATTCAAAGGTGGGGGGTGGAGTGGTCCCAAGGAAGGAGGAAGGAAAGGGGAACACGGCGTGCTCACTCGCTCACTCACCCACCATATCAGATATCACGCCGCTGCAGGCCAAGATTAACATATGCTTGGGGGCTTTCCGAAAGGTCGCACGCCTAAATTTGGAGCTGATTCGGGTGAGCTCTTTTCGAGTGAAATTCGCGTGTACGTGTCGCCCTTTTGGCTGGCCATGTAGTAGCACAAGCAAGCATGTGTAGTACTCTGTTTGTGCCCCCGCAAAAAAAATGTACTCTCTTTGTGTTGACAAAAATAGTGCATACTATTACTTTTACTTTTGGACTGTGATATTTGGCACATGTGTGCCATATAAGCAAAACTGCCACACATCTACTTTTTTCACTTTAAAGTATCACACGGTCCCCCTTCCTTCGACCCCACCTTCTCCCGAACGACCTTGCAGGCTCGCCCGAGAAACCTGCTTCTTTCGCACATCTCGCGCGCCCACCCCCGAGAAAACTATCACTTCTTCATGTCTACCACATGATAAAAAAATATTGCGCATGTGGGATTTGAACCCACACCTCCTTGGCACCAAAGCGCGCCACCACAACGACCTCACCCTTAGGTATTTGTTGCTCAAACTAAAGAAACTAATCGTTTTGATCTTTTTTTTTACAATTGTGTTACTACAAAAAAGTACAGAAAATTACCACGATTTTTCCTCGGGACAAAGTTACCATGGTATTCGCATGCAAGTTATCAGACCTGTGTTGCGTAAGTTACCGTGCTATTTACATAGAACTTACCAGGTACTATGTTTCAACAACTACACCCCTTTCAAAGTTACCACTGTGTTA